AAGCAGCTCGGTGCCTTCGATGCCATTGGGCATCTGCATCCTGGTGGTACCCACAGTCCCACGTGGGAGACAGGGGCTAATACCAAAAAAAAAAACCCCAAACAGGGTAAACCCAACTGCTCCAGTCCCCAAACCAGGCACTTTGTCCCAAAACAATGCCCCGTTTGGTGGAACCCCAGGCTCGGTGCTGGGTCTCGCACCAAATTGCTCCATTCAGCATCATCTTGGCCATCCCCCGGCACCGATGCCCGCACTGCCCCGTGCCCCACTGCGGGGTGATTTGTGTCGTGATTTGTTTTTTTTTTTTATTTTCTCCCGCAGACAGTAATTTCGCCTTTCATAAATAACCTGAAAATGAAAATCAGTGAGAAAAAGCGCTTCACAACAGGTTAAAAAAAGACCCCTGAGAAATAAAAATGTTTTCCACCCGACTAAATATTGGAAAGATGTATTTGTAAAGGGTCGGTTTTTTTGGAGGGGGGGTTGTTTAGGTATTTATTCCCCTGTGCAGAACCTGCCTTGCTGCAACTGAGCTCTCCTCCGCGGCATCCCCTAACCCCTCACCCCACCAACCCCACTTCCAAAATCCTTTTTCCCCACTTTTTTTACAGCAGCCGGGTGTCGAGGGGCCTCCCCTTCCCGCAGGCAGTCACATTTCCCAGGCAGTACGTCATGTTTGCTTAAAACCAGAGTTATCGCCGGGGAGGAGGCAGGGAGCCGTGGCCCCGGGGAGGGGGGGGCTGCAGGAGAGGGGAAAAAAATGATGAAAATGGGGAAAAAAATCCTTCCCTTCTTTTCCATGTCCTTTGGGAGGGCTCAGAAAAGCGCCTTGGTTCCTCTTGGGGGGTCTCAGTATTGTTTCCCCAAGGGTTAGTTAATGTGTTTCTAAAGCCTGGTTGTTGAAATGTTATTGAAATGTCTCGTTTTGCTAAAATAAAAGGGAAGGGGGAGAATTTGTGACTGATTCTGTAGCACTGGAGCCGAAGCATCTCCGGTCCCCCACGGTGGGGGATGCCGGGGGGGTTCACGACCTGCTTTTCTCCTAAAAAGTATCATTTTAGAGAAAAACTGGGGCCAGGTGAAGCAGAACCACGAGCCGGGAAAGGGGAGCAATGGTTGGGCCCCTCTTTTTGGGGGATGCTGGAGCCCTTGGTGGCTTTTTTGTGGGACAGGCTGGAGGAAAATATGTGGAAGGTTGTTTGCCAGTGGTGGAGATGGGATCAGCTGCTACAGTCTGGATCCAGGAGATCCCTCCAAGTCCCATCCCAAGGGATTCCCCATGTCCCATCCTGCAGGATCCCTCATGTCCCATTCTAGGTGATCCCCATGTCCCATCCTGGATGAACCCCCCCAGGTCTTATTCTAAGGGATCTCCCAGGGCTCATCTGAGAGAATCCCCCAAGTCCCATCCTAGATGGTGGCCCATGTCACATCCCAGGCGCCACCCC